TATGAGTCACCCAGCTGAGTCGTCCGATTCGTGAGTTTCTCCTTATCGTATTTCAATTCTGTGTTTCTTTTGTGTAGCCTTTTTCGCCGTACTTCTGTTTTTTCTGTTGTTGTTTGATTGAAGTAATCGGCGATGGAAATCTGATTTTTTTTTTTTTTCCTTGTTCTGAGCAGGAAAGGTGGGAAGAAGGACTTTTCGACCGCGATTTTGGAGAGGAAGAAGGCGGCTAATCGGCTGATTGTCGATGAGGCGGTTAACGATGACCATTCCGTCGTTGTTCTCCACCCGACCACCATGGAGAAGCTCCAGATTTTCCGAGGAGACACTATTTTGATTAAGGTTAGGACCTTTTTTTTGTATCTGTTTCTTCAGCGGTTGTTATCCTTTTCTTTTGGACGAGGGAAGAATTAGGGTTTTTTCTGTCTTAATTGATTGAAGCTGAAATCTTTGATCGAACATGCTTACTGATTCTAATTCCAATCGAATATGTAGTTTATAAGAAGATCTTGGAGGGGAGTATGTTGCTAACTTTGTTACTTTTAGGTTTTGAGTCAAAATTGAATATTTCCATAATGATTATGTTTGGTTAGGTTAGGGCAGAGGCGAAGATAACATTTTTTTAGTTGCATTGTAGTTAATTTAAAGTTTTATTGGTTGTGTCCAGCAAATTCTAATGCGCTATGGTCTATTGATTTGGGTTGTAGTAAGTTGTGGATATGGTGTACTCGGGACAAAGTATTTCAGTAGTTGATTTCACAGCGTTGTAGTCAGAGTTACATAACACGAGCATATCTGTAGAAGGGCAGAAAGTTGTACTTGCTGCTGTGCGTTTCTTGCTACAGTGTAATTTTCCCTGAGACTGAACGTATTGGAGCTGTTTAGTGTTTACACCCAGTTTTTGTCTTGTTGTGATTGCCATTGTTTTGTGCATGTATATGATATATATTTATGCTTTACATAACGACTGTACATCATATGACTGTACAATCTGTGATTTACTGCATTAGGAAAAGCATTACTTCATTTTTTTGTACTTCATATGCACTCATATTGACATTTGGAGTGTCTGTTATACTATGCTGAACTAACATCCTGAGCATCCTGTTATTTCTGGTTTCCAGGGGAAGAAGAGAAAGGACACAGTCTGCATTGTGCTCGCTGATGAGACATGTGAAGAGCCAAAGATTAGGATGACCAAGGTTGTCCGGGCAAATCTGAGGGTTCGTCTGGCGGATGTTGTATCTGTCCACCAGTGCCCGGATGTTAAATATGGAAAGCGTGTACACATACTTCCCCTGGATGATACAATTGAAGGTCTTACTGGGGATCTCTTTGATGCATATCTCAAACGTAAGTCGCATCGTTGCATCTTGTCTATTTGATTTTAGTTGAACAAAAAATGGATCTTAATTTAGCTGTTAAATTATGTGCAGCATACTTTATGGAGGCCTACCGCCCTGTGAGGAAAGGAGACCATTTTCTTGTGAGAGGTGGAATGAGAAGTGTGGAATTCAAAGTTGTCGAGACTGACCCTGGGGAGTACTGTGTTGTGGCCCCAGATACAGAGATCTTCTGTGAAGGTGAACCTGTTAGGAGAGAGGATGAGGACAGGCTGGATGAGGTCGGCTATGATGATGTTGGTGGCGTTAGAAAGCAGATGGCTCAGATTCGTGAATTGGTGGAGCTGCCGCTAAGACATCCTCAGCTTTTCAAATCTATTGGTGTGAAACCTCCCAAAGGAATCTTACTTTACGGCCCCCCAGGGTCGGGAAAGACATTGATTGCTCGGGCTGTTGCTAATGAGACTGGTGCTTTCTTCTTCTTGATTAATGGACCGGAGATCATGTCCAAATTGGCTGGAGAGAGTGAGAGCAACCTGAGGAAGGCATTTGAGGAGGCAGAGAAGAATGCCCCGTCCATCATCTTTATTGATGAAATCGACTCAATTGCGCCAAAGAGAGAGAAGACACATGGTGAAGTGGAGCGGAGGATTGTGTCTCAACTTTTGACGCTGATGGATGGCTTGAAATCCCGTGCTCATGTCATTGTTATGGGAGCAACTAACCGGCCAAACAGCATTGACCCTGCGCTTAGAAGGTTTGGTAGGTTTGATCGCGAAATCGATATTGGTGTTCCTGATGAGGTCGGGCGCCTTGAGGTTCTTAGGATTCATACCAAGAACATGAAACTTTCTGATGATGTAAGAAGGCCAACACTCGTTACCTTGAATTTTTTCACCTTATTATTGTGATGTGATTCTCAACTTTTTAACCGCGTTATTTTGATGAGATTATTAACCAGTATTATTTTCCAGGTTGATTTGGAAAGAATATCGAAAGACACACATGGCTATGTTGGTGCTGATCTTGCAGCTCTGTGTACCGAGGCCGCTCTACAGTGCATCAGGGAGAAGATGGACGTAATTGATTTGGAAGATGATACAATTGATGCTGAGATACTGAACTCGATGGCCGTTACTAATGAGCACTTCCACACAGCTCTTGGGACAAGCAATCCTTCTGCTTTGCGTGAGACAGTAAGTGAAACTCTTGGTGATGTTTGCAGCTTATCCTATATATGTGGCAGCATAATTTATCTATACATTCTGTTATAGTATTTTGGTTTTTAATGGTATAATCTGAAATGATGAGCAGGTTGTTGAGGTGCCCAATGTCTCATGGGCGGATATCGGAGGACTCGAGAATGTCAAGAGGGAGCTTCAGGAGGTAATATAAATAAAATAGAATCAAATTTAATTTATCATTTAGATGAAGAGGTGTTTATTGTGCTGCATCTGTCAGAGATATGGTGGCTAACCTCTTACTTATGAATTGTAGACTGTGCAATATCCTGTGGAGCACCCAGAGAAGTTTGAGAAATTCGGAATGTCACCTTCGAAGGGTGTCCTCTTCTACGGCCCTCCTGGATGTGGTAAAACTCTTCTCGCCAAGGCAATCGCGAATGAGTGCCAAGCCAACTTTATCAGTGTGAAAGGACCAGAACTGCTTACCATGTGGTTCGGGGAGAGTGAAGCCAATGTGCGCGAAATATTCGACAAGGCTCGTCAATCTGCTCCTTGTGTTCTCTTCTTTGACGAGCTCGACTCTATCGCTACTCAGGTCAGTGCACGCATTTACTATCAGAAAATGACTAAACTCAAAAGTAATAAATTGAAATAAGATCTTTTAGCAAGAAAAAATGTAGCGTTTACCATTTGTTTGTCCTTTCGTTGCACAGAGAGGAAGCAGTGTTGGTGATGGCGGTGGTGCTGCCGACCGAGTTCTGAACCAGCTTCTTACCGAGATGGACGGCATGAACGCCAAAAAGACGGTCTTTATAATCGGGGCCACTAACAGGCCCGACATTATCGACCCTGCCCTCCTTCGTCCAGGTCGTCTCGACCAGCTGCTTTACATTCCCCTCCCGGACGAGGACTCCCGTCACCAGATCTTCAAAGCCTGTCTCCGCAAGTCCCCCCTCTCGAAAGACGTCGACCTAAGGGCCCTTGCTAAGTACACCCAGGGATTCAGCGGCGCTGACATCACTGAGATTTGCCAGCGTGCTTGCAAGTACGCCATAAGAGAGAACATTGAGAAGGTAATTGCTTTGATAAAATTTTTGTCTTCTTTCAATTGTTTTATACAAACCAGTTTTTGCCTGAACAAACCCTAACTTGGCTGTGACTTTGCATTAGGATCTGGAAAGGGAGAGGAGGAGAAGTGAAAACCCGGACTCGATGGATGAGGATGCAGATGATGAGGTGGCAGAGATTAAGCCCGCTCATTTCGAGGAGTCCATGAAGTTTGCCCGCAGGAGTGTGAGCGATGCGGACATTCGCAAGTACCAGGCCTTTGCGCAGACCCTGCAGCAGTCGCGTGGGTTCGGGACCGAATTCCGGTTTGCTGAGTCAGCACCGGCCAGTGGGGCATCTGATCCATTTGCGACCGCCGCCGGTGGGGACGACGTGGACGATCTCTATGGTTAGTCCTTCGGCACTAGTTTGGTCGGGCCGGGTCGTCTTTGCTGTCCGGCAGAAACTCTCTCATGAGTCTACTTTTAAGTTATATATGCTGCAGTTTGTCTTCTTAGGATACCGGTTGATGTTATCATCGCGAGTTAACTTTATATAATACTCGCTTCCTGGGTTTGTGGAATGAATTACATTTGCTTATCAATATCTTCTACCTGCTTTCCAATATTATGAATGTTTTCTCTGTTTTGTTGGTTCTATGTTGTTGATTATATGTTGTTGATTACTGGTTTTGAAGGATCAAAATATTGTGATGAGTACATCATTTATACTTTTTTAGAACTTTTTTAAGAATTTCTCATTTGAAATTGAGATGAGTATCTACATATATATAATTGTTGGTATATAGCATTTAATAAAACATAATTAATAAAACCTCTTCATTTTTTCGCTCATTTTTTTTAATTAATGTCGAACCGTTACATTTTACATTAATGAAGTGTTATAATAATTTTAAACTAATTTATTCACTATTAATACTAATTGATTACAACTTTACATTAAATCGTATGTGGAAGTTACATACTTTTTTTTCTTTAAAATATTTTTTCTAAAATAAAATATTTTTGTCGTTTTAAGCGATTTTTATCTAATATTAGTTAATTGGCATGAGGGTCATAATTAAACACCTTAAAATCACATAAACAAATATTATAACAATGATAAAAATAATTGTAATACTTTTCTAACTAATTAATTGAATGTGCTCTCTAGATTACTAAATTATATTAACAATTAAAATTTATGGCATCAATATAAATATTCATACGTAAGTTAAATAAATTATATTTACATTACACATTTACATGTAGTCAAAGTTTAAAATGTAATACATCAATTATCTAATATAAAATTTTATATATTGTATAATTGTCGTTTTGAGAAGTTGCACAGTTATTAAGAATATTTTTTTTTTTTTTGCCAATAATAACTCTCATTAATGAGGATAGAGATGAATGTTTTGAGAAAAGATGAAGAGTGAATATGAAAAGACATAGTGTATTTATTAGGTAGATGGGAGTAATAATGAAAAAATATGTACAAAATATCCAAAACGACATTTATTTTGTTAATAATTGATAATGTCAAAATGACATTTAAAAAGAATAAGAGGTAGTATATTTTTATTTTTCTTTGTGCATGTGCACAGGATGAATACTAGTTTAATTTAATTTATACTTTTTAAAACTTTTCAAAATTTTCTCATTTGAGATTTCATAGCAAGTTCTGAAGTACTAAATTTTTTTATTATTTGGATTTGCTTGAATTTTGTTAAGACATGGTGAAATTTAGAAAATAAAAATTATGTACAAAATTATACTCTAAATTCCATTCCACCTCAAGATATACGATGTCAGACATAAGATTTCCATAAGTTTTCTCAACTTCAAAAATTTTAAGCCATAAAATTTACCCGAAATCTTCTTCAAAGCTGGGAGTTTAAGCCGTAAAAGTTTTAAGGCATTAACGAGTTCTCTAAAGTCCTTACTAACAAAAAGTAATAAATTTCAATATTAGTAATAAATTTCAATATCCGGAAAGCAATTTTGCTATAGAGCCATCGAATGGTTCAACTTATGGAGTCATCTACATTTATCCTTAAAAAGTGTATTGACACGTGGCTATGCCAATCCTACTTAATTTGTATACTTAGGTTTACCTTCTTTCAGTGCTAGCTTTTTTTTGCTATCTCCTTTTCGGTAAAAAGACAAAGAAAAACTCTGTCTTTAGTGGCCAGGCCAAATAAATCGTTCAAAGAGGAATCGCCCGCAAAGTCAGAATCTCCAGAGGTCTGGCTTGTCCTACAATAAATACACTTTGGACATGTGTCAATACTTTAAGTGATGAATGACTTTATAAAAAAATCATCCGATGACTCCATAGAATTTTTGGACGAAAAGATTGATACGAGAGAGACAACACAAATTTTAGGAAAAAATCATCTCAATCGGATGATACAATTCTCTATTAACCATGAATATATACACAAAAATTAGGGCTACAGTTACCTAAAGAGAACCTAAGGCTAATATAGTAAATACACAAATATACACAATAACACCCTCCCCCCCTCAAGTTGGAGCATGCGGATTCCGAATGCCCAACTTGCCAAGAAAAAAATCAAATTCACGCTTCCCAAGCGCCTTACTGAAGATGTCAGCGAGCTGTTCCCAAAAAGGAACATGAGTAGTAGAAATGAGACCCTGAAGAACAGCATCTCGAACAAAGTGGCAATCCACCTCAATGTGCTTAGTCCGTGTTTGTAATATTTTTGTTGTATTTTTCGTTATATTTGTGTTCTTCTTTTCCTTTTATTTTTTCTCGTTTTAGGTCATTTTGTGAGTTTTTAGTTCGTTTTGTGTTTTATTATGTGTTTTGTTCCATTTTGGTTTTCTTTATGTTTTTTGTGTGTTTTTCCCATTTTTCTTCTTGTTTTTCGTGTGCAGGTCGGAGGCATCGTGAGGTAATGACATGGATCGGGCAATCATGGTTATGTAGATGGACTCATTGGCTACACATAGGAAAAAACG